CAAGTGGCGACTTTAAGGGGATTAACTTTGACAGTTGAATGGACCATTGTTAATGCATCCGCTCTTAAATACATAGACGCGCGACTATGTGACTACGATCACGTTTGATTCACTCGTGATCAGATCTAAAAATAACTAAAAATGTCATAGCTCCGAGCATTTAGGAATAATACACTAATGGTTTGTGTCATTTGGATTCGGGTCGCCGAGGAGTCAACAAGTAATATTTTTTATTGAATGTATAAATAAGAATTTATTATAAACATAAAAATATAATCAAGCCGTTTGTATTTTTTTAAGAGACTTTATTCGAACAATGATTTTATTAATTGATATGTGTAGTTAAGCACGTATTTATACAAAGGTTATCTGTAGTTATAATAATGGTGATTATCTCCCCGTCTAGGGCCGAGGACCTGACCTTCAATGTCCGCGATTCAAGCCCTAAGATCGTGTATACAAGTCAGCTCCGTATACTTCCGGGAGATATTATTTCTATTTATAACGTAATAATGTCATTCTTAAAAAAGAATCCAAAATGGCCGCCGCGCGTCTGTTATTCAACACGGCCGCCGCGTATGTGTAGTAAGGTCATTTCTTCTATGCAAATGAGTAACTATCAATAGAAAACAAAATGGCCGCCGCGCATGCGCATTCGTGGCCCTAAAGAGACGCATATACTACTAATATCTACTAAAATTAATCACGTTTTACTTGTAGTAAATTAAAAACAATATATCGTTATGGAGATTAATGTAAATATAACGCAACATTGACTTTGACATATTTGTTGTTTAAAATGTTGTTTTAGGAAACAAACTCCTTTTGTGAAAAAGAGGCAGAAAAGCAACTGGAAACAATACAACAAGCCTTAACACAGGACAGGAGCAAAGTATCTTTCTTTAAAAAAAAATTGCGAAAAAAAAGGATCTGTTTATACGCTGTCCAATGGCAACAATGTCTTTACTTATATATTAAAAACAAGTATTTGACGATTTAGACAAAACAGAACAAACACATATTTCAAACTGATTTTACTGCTTGCTGTAAGTAGTTTTTATGCAAGCTCAATGATAAAATTAAGCATTTATCTTAAAATAAGCAAAGTGCTATATTATCTGGCAATAAAATTAAAAACTTGTGGCTTATATATTTCATTAAGAAACATAGAATCTACGGAATTTAATTATTTTAGATGCAAGAGGATTCCAGAAAACAACTATGTTTCACAAGAATAAACAACAAGTTGAAAGAATGTAGAAAAGCTATAGCTGTATTTTCTGGTGATCAAGTATATAAGGTACTGTATAATGAACATTGCAGATTTCTTAATACCTTATACAAAACTTGGTGGTGGTGGTTGTGATAGTTTACCCTCCGGATTACGACAGATAGCCACATTGAATTTACCAGGCCCGGATTTCACTAACGTTCTCAAAGTCTAAATCTCAGGTCAAACTTTTCAGCTCAGGAGATTTTTCTCAACTCAGAAATTAAGATTGAGATTTTTCTCAGTTTGACTATCACTAAATTTAATATTTGAGATTTTTCTCATATATATTGAGACAATGTTTGGCTGTCCCAGATTATGTCTCAGTGAAGCTAAATTATTGTTCTCGGGGGTATTTTTACTTTCTGCATGGTTATTTTGATAAATAAACATAATTCACCTTTTTTGCAATAAAGTCCCTATTAATTTCATATATTAAGTAATTTATTGACTGATTATTGTGAGTGACATCATGCGCTCTAATTCATAACGTCATGAAATTATGACGTCACAATAATCATATTAAACATGATTTATTTGATTTTGTTTCGTTTTCATTTATAATACATGACTGTACAGTTTGCAAAAAATTATGAAGATCTACATTCATTCTTGATAAATTATTTTCATTAGCATAAAAATATTCACACCTTTGATTCTTGGTGTTTTCGTTGTTGTTGTTGTTGTTGTTGTTTTTTGTTTTTTTAAATAAAAGAAGAAAGATATATCTGCAGTGATTTTCCTACTTATATAACAGACTCTTCCACATTTAAATTTTCTTTAAAATCATAAAGTTTTCCCAAAAATCAAGAGGCCAAGGCCTCTTCTTAATACAGTGAGAAAAAACACTGATCTGTAATCATTAATGTGATAAATATGCAAACCATTTCCCTGAACATCGCGTCATCAAAATAGCAACTATATACTTTGTAACAAAAAAGGAAAACTCCTATCAACAATATACACTAAGATTAAATTGTTTTTAAAATAGAAAAAAAACAGTCTCTGTTGAGAAAATGCTCTATTGTTGAGAAAAGTGAAAGCCAACTTGAGATTTTTTTTCAATATCGAGACAATCTTAAGTTGAGATTTATCTCAGTTTGAGAACGTTAGTGAAAGCAAGGTCAGAGCACAATTAAGCCACTGCATCGTTTCTGAATAAACTGTCAAGTCGTATACCAATAGAAGTTGCCTTCACTTTCGCAAGAAATTAATTACTTTTGTACATGTCAGGGTAGGGGTTCATTGATCAATCACAACGAACGTGACCTGCGGTGTCCGGGAATCGAACCACAGGTCGCCCGATTCACAGTCCAACGCTCTACTGGACGTGTGTTTTGTATTATTTTTATCGTTAGTACGTCATTAGTCAGGGTCACAGTTGTATAAGATATGATATGTTACAACTAAATAGCTTGAATTTACATTTACGTAAACTTACCTTGAGCAGATGCTGACATATATTGTCCTCGACTTTGCAGATGGCAAGCAAAAGAAAAACATTTTTGCCCCGTAAAGTTAAATGAATTCAATCTTTTTGTGGCTGACAAGTAACTGTTTTATACTGTAGAATTTGGATCACTGTAACAATTGAAACTATAATTATTGTAATATTTCTAGGATTTTTGACCCATAAATATCATTACACAGACACTAATTACCTTTGTTGCATTTAAGGTTATTATGTCAAGGTCAACTGTTGTTTTGTAACAGTTTCTAATCTAAATATACAAGATCGTTAACACTGCATATAGTTGGGGTCTTCAACGGCCAGACATTAGCACCATGTTATATTTCATGTAGTCAAGAGTCACGACCAAATGTTTAGATATCATCCTTGTTTACGATTTTTTGAACTATATCTCGTAGTAGCCTAGTCTGGAGTTTCCTCCCTTACAATAAGTGTAGGCAGGGAAGTAGTCGCTCTTTTCGTGTAGTGGTGAAGGGAGTATATCGGTGATGACGGTTGTAGTAAATAGTTATTGTCGCGGTTATACATAAACAGAAATGTGATTTTGGTAGGATATCCAAAGGGAATAGAAACAAGAGATAATATGATTATTAATTAACACTCGATGGTATTGTTTGATTATAATAATATTGTGTTGTTGTTGTTGCTTTAATTTCATTTGTTTTAAATTTCAGAAATACCTTGACGAACTGAAGCATTCTAATACGGATACTGCTAGAAAAGCACAAACTGTTCCGCATTTCCTGGAGGCATGTTTCAAACTATGCTGGTTAATGGCAGTAAGAAACATCTTATCATTTTGTGAAAGTAGTTTTTTATGTCTCTTGCATAACATACTCAACACCTTTGTTTGATAAATATTAGAAAAAAGCATATTTAGCATTCTATCAGTAAAAGTATAAATTTCAACGAGAGAAAAACAATGTGATACTGTTCGAAAACTCATGCCAATTTAATTGGATTTCGTAATCGTAGGCATCACTTGACTATTTATGCCATGTCTATTTTTATTCTTTATTTTTTCTCTTTATCTTTTTTTTTTCCATATCCACAACATGGTATCGCAAATCTAAAATATATCTTGCAGGTTCAAGATCCGCCTCTTGCTTTTAGTCCTAGTATCAGGCGCGGAGATGTTTTCGATACGGAATTATTCAGAATATATATAAAGAAAGGAACACGTGTGGCGTATGTTGTATGGCCCGCTCTTTTACTGCACAAAGAGGGTGAAGTTATTTGTAAAGGAGTTGCTGAAGGGATGCCAAATCTTTTCCATCAACCACAAAATGCACCAAACATGTATTATGCTATTAAAGGCCATTTTGTAAGCCATCGGTCTGATACCTTCACATACCAATACTACAGGCGACCAGATGACGTGTAAGCAGTTGGTAACATAACAGTCATTGGCAGCGAAATGGCTGATGGCAATAAGTCTGATACCAGTTATCGACCATTTATCAAATAAACCAACACATTCTTACCCCATTTCTACGCAGAGGCATAATGTACGCAAATTGAGTAGCGACATAAGTGATACCAAGCAGAATCTTCGCACATGCTGGCCGAAAGATATACCAAAGATTTACAGACACGGAGGATACTCAGCCACCGTACAACTATAATCCTTTCCAATATTTGTTAGCTCCGACATTCTGTCACGTTATCAGCCTAAAGTCAGTAATACAACAACCATCTGAAAATGAAGAAGACCAGAAATCTGATAATAACTGAACTACCATTTCTTTAAAACGTTTATATCAACAATGTGCCTTACATAAGGTATATGTATTTTGTGCTTTACATTAGGTATATGTGTTTTCATTTTAAGAAAATTTTGAAGCTCACATGTCCAATTAAATAAGTGTAGAAAATAGTGTTTAAATTTAACCGTCCATTTGATGAACATCGTTTCCAATAGAGTACAGCTACTTTATATTTAAAAAAATATATTGACATGTTTTGAAAATATCACATTTATCTAATTATTTTAAATGTTCAACATCAATTAATTGTTATCTCAAGCATCAATTCATTTTCATGAATCAAAGTATTTTGCTATAAATATATAAAAATTCTTTAAATTCATTTCATTTACATTTAGCTTTACCATTTCCATCGTAATCATTATAGTTGTTCATCTTCTCATGCAAAAGTACATTTGCAATTAATGATCGGGTGAGTTCATTAACAAAACTATAAATCAATAAATATAGAAACTGTTTAACATAGTTCTTATTTGTATTTTTATTCTGCTTGCGTTTTATCAATGCTATTACATTCCTTTGTAAATAAAACAAAGGCCATGTTGTTATTCTATCAATTTATTTCTATGTTACGTAACACATGTAATAACTCAGAGTTTTGAATTTATTCATTTCCAAGATAACTCTAACAATGTATCTTATATTCTATGCACTGACATTTCTTCTCACTTCGGAATCCAAGACTAATGAAAGTCACCCTGAAATAAATAATAAAATATAATCATTATAAAATACATAATAATTATTCAAGAATACAAGTTATTGAGATTACATAAAATATATCCTTCTCAACCTTTATATATGTCATCATTCAATTGAAAAATAAAGTATATTGTTTGGACGTGCCGGTCGGTCCTTAAATTAAAAAACATACAATAATCTTTATCTCAATTAAAATATAACTGTTACTATTTTGTTATTAAAAAAATAAAAAATACGTGTAGAGCTAGCCGGTTCTAGTATTTAACAAATATTGTTGATTTGATTTTGGAAAATATTTTGGCAGTCGACAGTAAAGATATCTCTTGGTGTAGTTTATTTGTTAGTTTACAATTCGCGAATTTAACAATCAGCCCTCGTATTGTTAAAACTGTATCTATTGGACCTAAGACAAATCGATAAAAACTGCGTGCATTCAAATGTAAATGCTTTTATTCCATTATATATTTTCCAATATTTGTTGAATGTGTATTTAGACTTAATTATCAAAACCAAAAAAAAAAACATGCAACACGATAGTAAACTTTAATTTAACACTGAATTTACAAATAAAGTTGTCTGTAAATAAACATACATTTTCATCTGCAAAGTACATTTCACGCTCTACAATTTCAATCTGACGCCGAGCCATTATCTTACAGAAATGCATGGTGTTCTGTAATGTAAATAAGAAAAATATTCAATGAGCTTTTTTGCATGAATGATGTACTTAAGTACCGATTTTGAAATTAATTTACTAAATATATTGCCACAGTAAAATCCGATATAATATTTAATAGTATTTAAAGGTATTTTAATATTGATTTACTCAGTTAGGTTAAAATATCACTGGAGGATGATGCAAAATGATAAATGTTTATCTTTAAACACTTAAAATATAGTTACAAGTATCAACTGCAAACCAAAATGTGCAAAATGTTTATCTTTTTCTCTATTACGAACAATTAAAACGTTCTTGCAATTAGAAATAAGTACGTTTATATCATTAACAAATAGTTTATTTTGAAAGCATTGTAAGCAGTATGTATTTGACAAAGTTTAATTATGAAACACATTTCAGAAAGGCACCTTGCAGATTCAAGAAAACAATAATAAACAAACACCTGTAAAATAAGCAAGAAAGCTTAAATTGCAGTCTCATCTGTTCGGAAAATCCTTTTTAAAACGTCAAAGGCATCAGTTCATTCATGTTCGTACATCTCAACACATTTCTCAGCTATTTTTGTAGGACAATTTCTGTCAATTAAATCGGTTATTTTTGGGTTGCTGTCACTCAGTTTGTCTTCCATTAAGCGACTAAGTCTTAAAAAAATAAAAGCAAAATGTATTTATAAACATATTAAAACAATTGAACATTTTAGTAAAGATACATTATTCTATTTTGCCTGATTTTTATATTTTATTCTGATTATTATTATTATTATTTAATTTATTATTATTATTATTATTATTATTATTATTATTATTATTATTATTATTATTTTGCTATTTTGTGACAAAAGGTATTTCAGGTATACTTTTAAAGATTAAAGTAATGAATTTATATAATTACTCACCTTGATTTTGTTTCATCTAACTCAACGTCTGTGTCATCTAATTTTGATAGCATATGTTTCATTTGATTTTACAATTCATCAATATTGTTTTCCATTTCAATTGTGTTTGCAAAGAGGAATTCATTCTTTGTAATTGATATTCCTTTCGTTTAGACGTATTCGACAATTCGTTCATCTGATCTTTCAGTTCTCTTATCTGACCTTCGTTTTCTTTGTCTCTTCTTTGTATAATATCAATTGTTCTACCTAATTCAGCCACTTTCTTGTGTGATTCATTTAATGCTGTTGAGTTTGATAACAACGATTTTCTACTTCATCAATATTGACATTTTGATCATTTTGCATTTTATTTTGGCTTTTAAATTATTAATATTTTCATTTTGATTTATAATGATTTCTTTCAGGTTTGATTCTGTTCCTTCCTTTACTTTTACAGCATCATTTAACTTAACATTACATTCTTGTAACAATGTTTCTTTTACTTTCACTTCTACCTTTTAGCGTTCAATTTCCTCAGCCATTGTTATCTCATATTTTATTTTGTGCTTATCAATGATTTCACATTTGAATGTTCTTCCTCTTTTCGCCTCAATTCTTTTTCTTTAATGTTTAATTGCGGTTTCAGAGAAATATTGCTATGGCTTACCTCATTGTCCTTTTGATTCGATGTTTTCCTCAGGTCATCAAATTGTTTCTTCTATTCTGTGACTTCTTCGTCTTTCTCTTTATTTTTGACTTCAAGGACCCGGTTTCTTTTTCAAAGCGTGGCTTCCTTAACCAGAAGCACATTTAATGCTTCTTGAACCTGATACTTTTGTTTCTTAATTTCTTCTATACTATTAACTTCCATATCTTTTATTGTGTTCTTTTAGATATTGAATTATGCACCTTTGTTTCTCGATAATTTCATTCAGTTTCAATACTTCCTCTTGCATAATTTTAATACAAGTATTGTACTGAACCTTACTTTCTTGCAAAGTTATTTCTTTGTGCTCCAAATCTTGTTTTAATTGTTCAATTTCTTTACCCAGTCCTACCATATGCTTTTGATTTGTGCTAACTAATGCTTTGTCGTGTAATACATCATTTTGTAGCTGTTCAAGTTCTCCTTTTGTAGTGTTTAGTTGTGTTTGCAAAGAACGATTGATAATTTTCAATTCTGTTTCTCTTTTGTTAAATGCTTTTGACATTTCATTTATCCGACTGTTTAAGTTACTTACCAGATCTTCTTTTTCTTGATAACCTCTTTGTTGCCTTGAGAGTTTTACCTTATTCAGACTTTTTTTACATTTACAGCTTATTGCAACTGATCGCTACGTTTATTAACTTTATCAACGCTAGCTACTTTTATGTCTCTCTTTTCAACTTCTTCTTGAAGATGTTAAATTACGTTGTTTTGCTTGTTGATGATTATATTCAGTCCCGAAACTGCTTCTTCCTTACGTTGATTGGCATCTTTAAACAGTTCATGATATTTTTGCAATGTCGTCTCCTTTTCCTTCATTGCTATTTTTAAACATGCTATTTCTTCGGTCAATTGTTTGATACGTGTTTGGTTTGTGTCAATTATTTTCCCTGTGAGATTATTCTGCGTTTTAATTCAGATATCCTGTTTTCATTTTCCTGATTATTAATCTTAAGTTCTTTGATAGTTTCACGAAATGTAACTTCCTTTTCTTGTGATTCATTTAATGTGCTCTGGACCTTTTCATAACGTATATTTATTTGTTCGATTCTTGCTATTTCATTATCTTTTCTCTCAATGTCTTCTTGAAGATGTCGAATTTCTGTCTTGTGATTGTGGATAATTTCGTTCAGTTTCAATTCTGTTTCTTGCTTCAATTTAACAGCATCTTTATATTGTTCGATACATTTTTGCAACGTTGATTCTTTTTGCTTCACTTTTAATTTCAAACTTTTAATTTCTTTTGTCATTTTTACCATATCTTTGTCTTTAGTGCCCATCAATTTTTTTTCTTGTGATATATCTGACTGTTGTCGTCTCATGTTTGTCTCTGTATAACACCTAAATTGTATTCATTCTTACATTTTTTATAACAGTAAATTTTAAGTTGTTACAATCACGTTGATAAACTGGTTATTATTTATTATAATACTGAAAAAAATATGTTTCCTCCTATTATACTTTGATGAGATAAAAAAAACTTAGAGGAAACGAACATTCTTTGAATGACTGATAAAAAAAGAAAATACGCAACAATTAACAAATTCATTGATTATATAAAGAAAGATTATGATTTCAAGAATACCATATCATACAACAGTTTGAATCCTATATTTCATGCAAAAATAAAAAAAAATACTGTTAATGTGGAAAGACAAAAAGCCAACGATACATTGGAATAGTGATTATGTAAGAAGTCAAATCTGTTGGAAACAAAATTGAACAGGTTTTACATTGTTTAAACCAGTTTCCAGTATAATTATAAAGTCTTGGAAAACAGAATAATGAAATATAATTATTCTTAGTGAACAATATATACATATCATATATTGATCTTGATCTAAGTGGCCTGCACAAATTTGTGACTTAAAAAATGATATCATCGTACTGATTGCATGATGAAAACAAATGCTTGTAAGTAAGCAAGTTTTCCACATATAAGATTGAAAGAATTAATATATATTTAATATATTTTAGCTCATCAAGACTGTATCAACACTGAAAATATTTTACCTTGTCAAGAACGTATCATTTTCCTCCTTCAGTTTTTGAATTTGTTCTCTTTGCTTTGAAATATTTTTATCCAGTGCCTTTCGTTCATATTCATGTCTTAAATTAATAAACAAACAACGCATGAAAAGAAAGAGACAATGGAAAAAGCAAAACCCTATGCACATTTAGGAACTCTCTTAAACACAGTTTAAGACAAGGCAAGGTGTATATGGTTATGCATATGTCATGATATGAAAAGTTCTTTCTGCGAATATTCAGTTAGAAAGGATAACAACCATTTAGATTGCGTTCCTAAGAAATCGTATTAAAATTTGTGAAAAGTTATACAGACATTGTTTTTTGTTAATCTGAAATATAATTACGATTGTGTACAAACACGCGGTCGTGTTTCAATTAATGAATTATCATGTGTTCTTTAAATGTAGATAAATAATTTATCGTGTATCAAAATATTTCAGTGATTATAACAATTCTGACCTTATTCATAAATTGAGAGAGTCATAATCGGTTAGAAAAAGTAGGCCTTTAATTTGTTAATTAGGCCAAACACAAAGCAGTGCCGTTCGCTTGTAAGTCAGACCGTCGCTTTGAACTGTTAGCTCTATTGGCGGAGGAAGACCGCAATTCTGTCGATCTTCGTAAGCATTGTAATGGCACGTACTACTTTAATTGGGATGCATATTTAGAAATATTATTCAAAATTAAAATATTCTTATAAATTTATACATTTTACAGTTGTGTGCATGTTTTTTATCTTTGTAATAGTCAAAGTAAAGACTAATAATTGAAATGGCGTGAACAATTTATGATAGTTACATGTATTTACAACATTAATTATTACCAAGATAAATGAAATTTCTGTGATATATCCTGATTATAAAATGCTACTCTACCTGTACCTTTTAACACTACATACATACATACATACATACATACATACATACATACATACATACATACATACATACATACTAAAGAATCATTAACATTTTTAGATATTGTAAATACATGTATATATTCGTAGTCATTTAGTATTTTTAACTTGGACGGAAATATTCAAATTCATAATCTCTTCTTACTTTCTGTTTTCAATATTTTTGTTCAGATAACTAATCTCTTTATCTTTGTCATGGTACAGTTTTTCAAGGTTCTGTATTCTTTTTTCTAGATTTGTAACTTTATTCACGCACTTCATTACACTTCCAAAAACAAAAACAAAAAACAAAAAACAAAACTAAAAAAAAAACATAAAAAAACAACATGTTTTACATGACATAAAAGAACAACAATTAAAGATCCTGTATGTTGTGATTGAGGTTGTTAAGTGAAACATTATTTGAGTGTATAATTATGCTTATAAAACAATTTTCAAACATCGAATAATTTGTAAAATATGTATTGCAAATATTTGTGTACATTATATGTAAGCATTAACATAGATGCATACTTTCTTATTTAACAATTTGATCCAGAGTTTATAGAAAATAAATTTCTAATTACCTCCCTTTATTTACATAAAATACTATATTTGGTAATATCTTTATAAAGAATGTTTTTTGGAACTTACAATATTGATAAATCTTAATTTGAGCATCATATTTATGATATAAAACCTTAAAAATTTGTGTTACAGGATTTTTAACATAAAAAATATAATGACCATCTCATTTTTTTTTCAATGTATTTGACAGAAACAAAAATTAGAAAGAATGAATTATATTTTGTGGATAAAAATTTTAGCGTAATACACAAAATATAGTACAGACATTTTAGCACATAAAGGTGAAAACAAAATGAATTTATATATTTTATGTACGTGTATTCTTTGTCTAAAAACATACATTGATGATTCAGGTAGTTGAGGAAAAAAATGAATACGCACAAATTTTATTTTACCATTCGTCTGTTACACCCCGGACACATCATAAGTTGTGATTAATTTATAGTGTTTTTAATTACCTTCAAGTCGATTCCCGAAATAGTTTTAACGGCGAATGTATCTTTTATTTAAAAAACACATGAATAGTTTACGTTAACATAATAAACCATTCTGGAACAAAATAAAATACTATGTTGCTATCTTAAGAAAGGTTTTAACCGTTGAGCAATATGCCTTATCTGAATTCAGGAAAACATACTTACATTTCAGTCATGCATGCGATTTAGAGAATGTTTTTATTCAAAATCCGAACAATATTTTTTGCAGCTGATATATAGATGCAAAGTAGTTTACATCTGTAGTTGTCTTTACTAAATTTTACTCATTTCTGTATAAAATAGTAATGAAAGACCGTTACAATATGTGTGTACGAGAAACAAACATAATTTTCCAAATATAATGAATAAAATATTTTGTGTAACACAATTAATAAGATAAAAGTTTTGCCAATTTTGCAAATTTAACCGAAACAAAAAAAAACAAACAGTGTATCACAATTCACCGCAAAGAAATGACGAGGCGTTGTTAAAACAATGGACGATGATATATGTATTGCCGTTAACATGTGCTTTTGCTTGAATATGCTGTTGTTTTCTTGTGACATTAAGTAGAATTTTTATATAATTTACGTTTATAAGTCACAGCTTATACCAGTTGCATTCATTGTTTTCTTTTTTGTGACAAAGCGTATATAAACAATATATATAAACGTTTTTTGAAATATCACCTTCAGAATTTAACGGCATTGCTCCTAAATAGCCCCTCAGTTCAATTTTACATGAATTTAGGACATGCACTAGCATACTACATGGTTTAATTTATTCATTGTGTCGTTTTCCACCATTTGTTCTTTTGTTATTTTCTCATCGCTTGTAGGATCGTCCTATGTAAGTATGTTGTTATTCGTGGTTTTGCCATCTTGCATTGTTCTTGTTGATATCAATGTTTCATCGTCGTCACTGTGTTCCTTTGATTCTACGAGATTACTAGTATCCCATGGTAAATCAAAGACTTCCGTCCTATTATCTAGATAAGATTATGACATTGCTTGATGTTTTTTCCAAAAACATTTTTTTAACCTTTCCACTTAATGATTTCCTTTTTAATTTGGTACTGTTTGATTTTGCGTCGTCCAAAATCTGATTGCCTTCATTGTCGATGCATTTCTCGTCATGTTTCTTGATTACGGATTTTACATCAGGCTCTGTCGTAGAAGTAGCTAAAGTTTCCAATTGATAAAACATCTCGTTGTTTTTGTTATTATGATTATTGTGTCTCTTTCGCCTTCTTCTAGTTGTTCTTAGAGACTGAACAGTACTGTTTTTGCTGTTTTTATCCTTACACTGAGCAATGCCTTTCATTAAAATGTTTCCATTTTCGTGCAAGTATAATACTGGCCATACTATGTAATCTATGTAAATACCCGATTTTGTATAAGGCTTGTACAAAGTACTATCATGCAGTTCATCACATCGATCAATATTTACATCAACATGTACAGGTGGATCCTGAACTGCCATAAGCCAACACAAACCTATACACTTGTTCAAAAATCGTTTAACATAATGGTCTTTTCGGAGTTCTTTTTCGGGTAAAGTACGTTTTATTTTTTATTTTATTTCCTGAAAAAAATGATATTATAAATATAGTCACAACTACGTCTCTAGTCATTTCTGCAAATGCAAGCTCTGTTTTCAATAATTCAATATTTAGTAAGCATTACAGGTAAAAACAAAATTTTCAAGAGTTTTTTTTTTTAATCACCGATCCTCTTAGCCGCAAAAAACACAATTTTAGTAAAACTTTTTAAGTTTAATCACATTGTTTCCTTTCGCCGAATTATATATTAAAATATGCTCACATTGGTTAATATGTTAATACCTGTTTAATTATAGATTGCTGTCCTGCAGTATTTTTCTTTCTTTGGTCTTTCAGTTGTTTTAATAACTCGACCGGCGGCTGCTGCCCCTAAAAATAAAGATCATTAAAACGTTATGTTTTATTTAAATAACTGTCTTGTTTTCAATATTACACAGAAGTTTGCTTTAAATGACATGAACATAAAAAACGGCAACATTTAGAATTGATATTACATATACTTACATTAAATAAATGCATTAAATTAATACCATAAGAATGACAAAAGAAACGTATTGAAACGTTTCCATATTTTATTGAAGAATAACAATTCTGATGTCAAATGTAGGGGATGTATCTTAACCTTTTCCCTGATATAGACGTGTTTTGACGGCTTCCCCCCCCCCCCTTTTGAGGCCTCAAACAGTGAAAAATTGCCCTATTTAGGTCCTAAACACTGTTTTTCGTTGAGAAATGTTGTTAAAAAAAACTGATCACTTTTTCCGCGCCCCCCCCCCCAACCAGAAGATACATCAGGGGGTTGCCAGAAGGGGGATGTGCCCCTTCTGTTTGGGGGTTTGAATGGGGGAGGCGGTTGTGCCCCTTATCGCCTAGTAAATTTTGGACGTGTGGCAGGCTGAAAATGGCCTCATGTCGATCTTAGGGTAACTAGTAAGCGACACTGAACAGCCTTTTACTCTATCTCAATTCATTGAGAAGTTGCAGCACTTTGAATTCAGTTTTGGTGGACAAAAACAATGCAAAATAGTGATTTTTGGCAATTTTGAAACGTGCCCCCGTTGCCATGGTAACAGGAAATTTACAACTGGGCATGTTGTTACAGAAGCTATGGTCTAGTCAACATTTGTGCCAAGTTTCATCAGTATTGACGCATTTTTCATAGTTTCATAGCAGTTTGAACTTGTTACAGGAGGCTTTTCAATGAAAACGGCCATTTTTCTCAATATGCTCATCGGATAAAAGGTTAAATTAATCTTATAATAAATGCAGAGAAAAGTGGCAACGACATATCAATAATATATTTAGTTATTAGAAACAAACAGATATTTCCCTTACATTGAGAAAAGTCTTGATGGCATCTGTCACTGCATCCCGATCTTCTACGGCTTTTTTGATACAAGCTCTGTAAATGACCTGCAAAACATTATAAAATGAACATATGAAAATAATAATTATATTCACTGATATTGTACACAAAATAAACTTTCTTCCTTTTTTTTCGTTTTTGTGTATTTATTGAATTAAACAAACATGTTGCAAAACAGATTATTTTGTATTTTTTGTCTTTATCAAATGATACTAATAGTTCTTATTCTTACACAAAACATGCTTAAAAGAATACGGCATGCATCTTCTTCCGCGTTTCCACATTTAATTACACCAAAGGCGTCAGTCCATTCATTGTCATAAAGTTCTGAATATTGTTCAGCTAGTTTTGTAGGTCTGTTAACATCACTCAAGTCTGCTATATTAGGATTCCCGTCTGTAAGCTTAGCGCTAGCAACAACACTTAGTCTGGAAAAAATATATATCATTAAGACATTGCCCTTTTTTATTTATTATGTCCTTTCCTCTAATACTAAAAACTAAATTGTCTTCATTCTTGCATTTTTATGAAATTTAATATTGTTCAATCACGTTTTAAAACCGGTACAAAAAAGTTTTTCACTTAATATAAGTGTAATTAGATCAAAAACTAAAAGCAAACGAAATTACTTCAATGGCTGATCTTATATATAATGACAAACTAAAATACTGTCAATGTGATAAACAAGACAGGAGATACATTGGAATGGTGATTATAGTATTAATCTAATGTTGTGGGAAAAAGAATAATATTGTAAAACTGTTTTGTTTTTTTATTTTGCAACTAGTTTCTAGTTTCTAGTATTACAAAGTCTTGGAAAACATAACAATGAAATATATTCATACTGAACAATACATAGATATCGTATATTTATATTACCTAGTAGACCTGTGAATTTGGTGGTCAATAAAATGATATTACCCTTACAGTTGCTTAATGATGATATAACTAGTAAGTAAACAGGTTTCCACGTAAATAAGGTTGAAAGTATTATCATTATATATTTTACCTAGTCAAGAGCGTATCATTTTCCTCCTTCAGTTGTCGAATCTGTTCTTTTTGCTCTGAAATCTTTTAATCAAGTGCCTCGCATTCATGTTCATGTCTTAAATAAACAAACAAACAAACTAAACATGAACATAGTTTAAAAGCAAAACCTCACGCACGTTCAGCAGAAACTCTTTTAAAACACAGTTTAAGACAAGACAAGATGTATAAGGTTATGCATATGTCATTAAATGAAAATTTAATTCTGCAAATATACAGTTACAAAAGATAACAACGGTTTTACCATTTAGATTGCGTTCCCAAGAAATTGTTTTAAAATTTGCGAAAAATTATACAGATCTGAAATCTAATTACAATTGTGAACAAACACGCGTTCGTGTTTCCATTTATGAATCATCATGTGTTCTTTAAATTCAGGTTAATAATTTATCGTGTTATCAAAATATTAAAATGATTATAACAAATATGTCCTTATTCATAAATTGAGAGAGTCATAAACAAAAAGAATAGTAGGCCTTTAATTTGTTATTTAGACCAAACACAAATAATGTTGTTCGCTTGTAAGCCAGACCGATGCTTTTGAAGTGATATGGCGATTTTAAAGCTCTACTGGCGGAGGAAGACCGAAGGTGCCCCTCCTAGCACTGTTAGGCATAAGTACGAAAAATGTCGACCTTCGAAAGCAGGGTAGTGGCACGTACTCATTTTAAGGGATGCATGTTTAAGAATATGATTCAGAATAAAAATATTCTTTCAAATTTAAACTTTTAACAGTTGTGTGCATGTTTTTGATCTTTGTAATATTCAAAATAAAGACTGGCGTGAAAAAAAAACGGAATGGCGTGAAGAACTTAATATGATACATTTATTTAATTTTACCCATGAAATATGGTGCTATATCAGTCAAATATATTTAATATTTTTTAAAAATAAATATGAAATATAAATATGAAAGTGGGCGGAGTCAAAACTCATATTTATTTTAAGGGACTTCTTTCGCCGTTTTGTTTGAAAAATCTGATGAATACAAAACAACTTTTTCTTGAATATTGATTTGAAAACTATCTAGCATGATAGAAAATGATCTAACTAAGAAAATTAATCCGAACACCGATATCTTTAATTCAGTAATTAACGCTGTACAGACGTTTAAAGTGTTGTTTACATGACGTCACAATGTAGCGCCAAACAGCGCGTGCTTACGCATAAATTACTGCGCGCTGTACAATTGCAGTTGGTAGCAAGCAAGGGGATTCGTTACCATTTTCTTTGATAATGAAATTAAATAAAAAGGTTATTTTTTCGTTTTTCGTGAAATATGGTATATATTTTCACTCAACATGATAAAATGCCACATATTTTCACTCGCCGTACCGGCTCGTGAAAATATGTGGCATTTTATCATGTTTCGTGAAAATATATTCCATATTTCACGCAAACGAATAAATATCCTCTTAGTATTAACAACATTAATAGTAACCAAGATTATTGTCATTTCTGTAATATATTCTTATTCTAAAATGCTACTCTACCGGAATCTTATTACACTACAACAAATACATTTTTAATAATTCTGTTATTTTCTTCAACATATAAACTTATGGAAAAAGATATCATTACTTTACAAGTTGTTCCTGTTTCTGTGTTTCAAGGTCCTTCAGTTGCTTTTCCAGGCTTTTCACTTCAATTTTGTAGGCCCTTTCTCTGTTAACACATCTTGATTATGGAATAAAACGAAAAAAAATTCATCATTAAAAAATGTAGGCTTATCTATCACTAAATATGCAACAGAGCAAGGTCATTGATATCTTGAGATACATGTAACGCCAAAATGTATTTTCGTTTTCATTTGTAAATCATTAAGTTAATAGTATTGTCCTGCAAAATGTAAAATTCACAAATAATTTTGCTTTTACACATTGTAAATCTAGTATAAAACCAATGAACTTTGTTGAAATATTCTATTGTATGTATGTTAAAGGGCAATAATGATAAACAATATTTCAGCCAAGCCTACAAATTGAACGACCCAGTTTCTTTGTTTTTTGTACAAATGTGTCTGGGTGCCTTTTGTCGCATTTGTTTCAAAATGCTTACGGTGGTTACTTCAGAAAAGTTACCGAAAAAAGGAAAAGACGGTTAAAGCACGCAAAAAGTAATTAGTTACACATATGTGACAACCTAAATGTAATAAATTTATAGGGGCAAAAATGCAAGCACTCTGCAAAAAATAACTTATTTCTTGTATTATTCAGGAAATAGGGACCAAATGAGTCGAATAAATTATTTTTTATCCCCATTAAAGATAAATATTTTCGTAAGTTATTGTGTTAGTGGTTGAATTTGCGACGTGGAAATATTTGCGATTGTTGCGAATTTAAAAATTATTCGCAAATATGTGATCGCGCAATTTTTTTAAGGCATACGTTTTTCTATCACTTGAATAAGTTTGATTGTTAAGGTACTGAGATTAACTGCTTGTTTGTTCTAGTTTGGTATTAACAAATAACAAATGTTTTAATGAAACAATATATGTGTTAATGACATAAAAGGTTATTCTGTTAAACAAAACAAACTTTCAAAATATGATAAAGAAGTCCTTTATCATACTTACAATGTATATTTCAAGCACTGCTATAAATAATAAAAGTATCAAACTATTCTTAACCTGTACCTGCCCAATTAATGATATTCCAAAACAGTATTAAGTTCAAGAAATCATACTTTCGCAAATATTTCCGCACGCAAAAAGTCCACTTTTGACATTCGCAAAAGTTTTGTGAACATAAATATCCACTCATACAGAATATCTTGTTTAGACTTCTGTAATCATTAACTAATACAAAGGTATTTCAAGTTTTTTTTTCCTTACCTTTCGTGTGTTTTGTCAGCCATTGAGACTTGTGACGGTGAAGTCGGCCGTTTTACATTATGAATTTCTTCCTCACCAGCCTTTAATTTATCTTTATTCTCACGACAACAACGCGATCCCATTTCATTTATCTCTTTTAAGTATAGGATATCGACCGAGTACGAGGTCTTTCTGTTTAGGAAAGACCTGGTCACGAATTTCATGTGACACCGAGAGCGCGTAGCGCTCGAGGTGTTTCATGAAATTCGTGACCAGGTCTTTCATAAACAGAAAGATCGATGTACGAGGCCGATATCCAACTTACACACCGTTAAACTTGTGGCTTGAGCTGCATTTGATGTAATGCACAAAGATTACTTTTAACACAGCGCATATACAAGTAAGCTTTTATTAACGTTCTGTTTAAATATATAATTTGCATTAACTCTGCTTTTCCCTTTAAAATAATGATCAAAAAAGCTAAGTGTGCAATTTGTCAATAATAAAGTCAATGGGTCTGTAATGGAAGGTATGTAAAAGAATGAATAATTATGTTGATAGTATTTCGTGTCAGACATTGTTGTTTCCTGGACATTTGCTGCCGGACAGTTTCCCCCTCGGGTGTTTGCTTCCTGTTTTTTTTTTTGCTATGGCGACTTGTCATATGTCAGTATGTCAGAGGGCATCTCTTGTATAAATTTTAAGTATGTAATTTAACAATGAAAACGTTCTATTTCATTTATTTATGGATGCTATTTTGTTTTCACAAATGTGCGCGAAAGTTTGTGTATTGAAGCACAACGGAATTTCGACAATAGGAGATGAAGTTTGGTAACAATATAACAATGAAATATTTCAACTTTTTTAAAACGGGGGGGGGGGTGGGGAGGGGGGGGGTGGGGGGGAGCGGGGGGGGGATGGGGGGGGGGGGGCGGGGGCGGGGGCGGGGGGGGGGGGGGGGGGGGGGGGGGGGGGGAGGGGGGGGGTGGGTAGCGGGGGGGGGGTGGGGGGGGTGGGGGGGGGGGGGGGGGGGGAGGGGGGAGGGGGGGGGGGGGGGCGGCCGGGGGGGGGGGGCAAATGTACGCTCCATTCCAAGATATGAAGGGTGCATATGTCCCCACGCAACCTTCAAGCAATTGTCGGATACCCAGGGAGACTACGAAGACTTGTATGAATCGAGATATTGTTGTCTGAGATACATGAATCCGATATTATAGATTTATATAGCAGATTATAGATTGTTATCGAATAAAACATGAGCGTTCAGCATATAAATTTGTATACTAAATCACCTATACACTTTATTAACATTTTCGCTTTTAAATCAAATTTTGTTTTAATTAATAAGTTTTTTAACCGTTATCTATCGTGTATTTGATATAATGGGAAGATGTGCCATTGTAGACCAATCCACTTAAGTACTTGTATAATGCATGATACATATAGCAAGTTTTTGGAGTATATTTACACAAAAATCTTTTAACGTTGTTGTGTAGCATTCTTTGAAGACTAGTCCCTTGCTTTGACGCGTTTTCAGGCGCATATCTGTTTTGATTTTCGCCGGTTGACATAGAAACGGTAAATGCTGGCCACTCAAATAGAGCAAATAGAGGGGGACGTGGGTAAACGGACGGATTATTAACAATCCTTGAAGTGATCCGGTGCGGATTTGGGCGAGCTTTCGCTATTAACAGTGGGTAGCTGCGGTTGTTCCAATGCAAAGCAATTCAAATGCGCAATTTTAATTCACATTCGTTTGAAACAGACCATAATTCTCGTTATATTTTTTCGATATGAATTTTCGGTACAATTTTTATGGTACTATGCGCTTTTTTTAGAACGTTTAAGATGTTTTAAATGAATTTGAAGCGCTATTTTTAGTGTTAACATTGTGAACATTAAGACAGAAACTCCCTTACATTAATATTAGCCTTTGGAAACTTTGGATACCCCGTCTCATAATTTTATTAAATAAATTTGATAATAGGGATGTTGGAATAATTTGCTAAGTGGCATTCATACAGGAATGTTATGACATCATATACATTTTACTTTTCATTTTCATTTTTCTATTAGCATATCATGTTGTCTTTGCAATGCGCATGAAGGCAGGTCTATTTTTTCAGATAGTGTTTTCAATTACCGGTCTGTTGACTAGACGCAGACCTGTGCCACAGCAAAAGATAGACCATGCATAACGGACTTGTCTTTTGTTAGACAGGTCTATCCGAAAAAATATAGACCTGTCACACACCAATAGAGGAGGTGTGGTAACATAGGAAATTAGAAAGCATTTTAAGAAATGCTTTTTTTGAACCAATAAGTTTGGGTTTTACGTGGCACAGGGATGAGTAAAACACTTCTGATTACTGTTTAGTGTTGAATGATTTGGAGGATATTAATTCATTCCTTGTGAGAAAGCGAGCGATATGACTAACAACGGGACTATAACTACTGTCGTTATAATTGTGCAAATCAGAAATGAAATCGTCATCTGATATGTAACAGTGGTCAGATGTGTTACTGTATAAAACCCTATGTTCTCATAAGTATTCAACATGGACATGAGAAATTAATTGTATGTTGCTATGATTTATTTGGTTTATGTAGTACAATATTTGTAATTCAGATTCTATATACATGGAAGGTACTCAGTTAAGATACTTTGTTGTCAAATAACTTGAAGCTTGTCTTCCCTTTTATTGATAACAAACCAAAAAGATGATGAAAATATAAATTATTGTTTATTAAATTTTGAAAATGAAATGTAGAGCTTTTATTAACAGGTATATATTTTATTTTAATGCTTATATAATGTTTGTGGATTCTTCTGTTTAAGAAAGTCTACTCCAATTGTTATTATTTTCTCATTATTCTGCCAGGTGGGTAAAGTAATCAAACCCATTCATCTAAACAGTTAATGGTTATTCCATTCCTCAAATAGATTTCAAAGTTTCCTCAAGTACTTGTAAATATTCATAATTTAGCTGCAATATTGCCACATGTTTTAATATCACAACTTTAGCTAATTTAACAACTTAAATGTTATACTTGGTGGATTTCAGACCAAAGAAGTGCGCAATCAAAGTAGCAGAAGTACACGATGGCTCTTCCCCGTCTCGTCCATTATTTCCTCTACAACGACATCCTGTGCCGAATAGTTATAGTGGTGCACGCGTTCGAAATTACAATTCTCTCGTCTCTGTGGGCGTTTATATCCGTGGTCAAGCTTTGCATTATTTTGTGTGAGGTAAGCTTGAATAATTTAGGCTACCTTGGGTGCACAATAACTCACGGCTGACAAAGAATTGCACCAAGGGCTTGACTGTCTCTTCAACCAGGTTGAACGCTTGGAAAGAAGCCAGATGATGCTGGTGAGTTGGTCTTAAGTTTCGTCAGGCTAGTTTTCCTTGGTAATAAAAAAAAATGCATTATAGGCAAATCTAAGGTTTATGCATTATGGCTTAGTACTATAGAAATAGACCAGCTCAAAATACCACTGCACGTGAATATCTCTTATTTTACAGTACTTAACTCTAGATTTTATTTTACAAAATTTTACTAATTTGATATTACAGTGATTATACGTATACTTTTAAGGATACTAATTAAAATACGAAATTTTGATGTTTTTAAAAACCCTAATCGTCATATTTGATATGTGCTACATAAGGTATACAAAGGTATAACGAATTAATCGAATGAAGTAGGCGCAAGTTGAAAATTATTTATCGATGAATTACGTTGAAAATTAACATGTTATTGTCGACGATAGGTCTGAAGTGGTCCCCAGTGCCTAGACAGGATTTCCTTAATTGCTCTTCAGTAAATTGAGCGGTGAAAATATGGTATAATGCACATAAAAATAACTAACCATTTATATCTTATTCATATCAATGATAGTAGGATATGAATGAATCCATATTTATAATATATATTCTGATGTCATCTGTCGAGCATGTACGCCCCCACTATCTTTCGTACTGCCGATGTCGTGAGTCGGTCAGAAGAGCTCTTCATTCGCGGCCACAACTTAACGCTCCGCGCCTGTTTTATGGAACGTTTAACATCTTATCCTACATTTGGAAAGTATACTTGACGTTATATTCTGCCAAAATTTATTGTAGTGAATTGATAACTGCTGCTCGATTATATAATATATATTTTGGAAAGTTTGTTTAAAGAATGAATCAAGTGTATCTTCTTAAATGACAACATAACCTTGTAGTATTTTTATTGTAATAATTGTAGGTTAAAGAATGTTTTTTTTAATATTTGTGCAGTCTGAAATGGCTCGCTATGTGTTAATTTTCATACGCCTGATACCCTGGAAAATTATATTGGACGAGCTGGATCAGGTCACTTTAAAATATCAGACAGGTTAGTAGGTTTAATTAATTTATTCCTAACTGGCTTTTACCGAGCATTATATCTAATTACCGCAGCAGTGTATTTTGAAAGCTCGAATATTACCCATATGACGTTAGCTTGAAGTATTTTGCTTTATTCGTACCATGAAATGGTTTGCAGTTTACTTTAGTTCTGTCTCCACATGTACAGAGGTTGCAGCGACTTGAAAAGTCAGGGAAATTTGCGGTTTTTTTCAAGGTCAGGCGATTGTCAGGGGAAGTTTTGGAAATTTTAGTCAGTGAAATTGAAAATCCTCTGAAAAGTCAGTGAAAAGTCAGGGAAAATTATTTCAAAGGATCGAAAAATATGCGGAATTGAAGGTCTTTCTTGGCTATGGCAGTCTGTTAGTGCGCATTTAATAATTTGACTTTATTCATCTCACAGTTAGCATTTAATTCAGATAACAGTAACTATGATTATTAAGAATGCATTTATACATTCACCTAGTGATTATAATACCCGATTATTTACCTAGAATCGATCCAGCCTAAAGACTGAAAGGCTTTGCAACCCTTGTCTCCAGACTGACTAATACGTAATTTCTGATTTGCATAATTTTACCAGTGTCCATCATGTTTGCAAGACAATATCTTCAATTTCTTAGTGTCAAGCAAAAATCAAAGCAGGTTATATGCCAATATGGTAGTTTGGTAATATCATGTATATGACTAGATTTTGTTAGTAATTAAAAGCCCTTGCTTTGCTTTTGCTTTGCATAAGAAATTGTACAAGG